GTTGCCATAGTAACCATAACTTAGTAACACTGGATCTCATGACATGTGGAGTACTGTTGGATTACTGTTCATGGCCATGCTGTTAAATGTACGCTACAGTGAGGCAGTGAAATGTGTCTGAACTAACACTGTGTTGGAATGTGCTGACTTCTGTGCATTGAAATTTCAGGCCTAATATTGCACCGACTAGGACTCCATTCTACGAGGAGTGGTTGCCCTTGGCCCTAAGATTTACCCTCCTCTATTCAGTGAGCTTGGCTGGCTGTTCAGCATTACTATGGACTTGATCCAGTTCTCAGTGAAGTCCGTGAAAATCCCAGTGACAATTATTAGCTCACATTTTATTGGGGAATAAAACTAATCTGGGCTTTCAATATCAAATGAATTGAAATTGGCTGTTGTGCCATACATTGCTACAGACAGAGCAGCCCTGGCTCATAGAGGATAAGTAGGTGGAGGTAGGAGTCTGAAGAAGCCAGAAAAACCTTTAAATTTTTTTTTTTAATAAAAGGTATCCCTAATCCTTTCTTTGCAATTGTTTTATCTTTCTACTAGCATTTATTTTTCATAGGATGATACATTGCACAACCTACACACCTTCCCCCAATAAAACTAATGTAAAATGTTTTTGTTTTATTTTAAAATTAAAACTAGCATTCTTACTAAAAGCAATAAACCACACCAGGAGTTAGATACCGATGAATTTCTCTGGAGGTTTTGGGCCTTCCATTTTATGTGTCACAAAGAAGCATGTATCACTAGCCTACCAATACATGCCTGTTGTGGCTTATTCCTACAGTAAAGCTACTAATGGCATTAAGTTATTTAGCTTTGACAATACAAATATACTAGAGAAGTTATTTGCAACTCCTCTAGAAGGGAACTTTATGGTATTTTTATAGAGACCATAGATTACTTTATCATAAAGGATTCCTGAATTATGCTTATAATATTATTCCATATTTCTTTCATACATTAAGAAGTTAGTTAGTTAATGCAAGTGGGTTCATTTTAAGGCCACTTGAAAGATACTAACTACTTTTAATTCTTTCCATGCCTGCTGTATTTCAATTTTTCTTTTTTGTTTTATTTTCAGAAACACTGATTACTTTGCATAATGTGGCATTTCATAAACGCTATAATGATGTGTTTTCTTCAGATATTTGTTATTTTTTGTTTTGTTAGGTAGCTTAGAATATTTTTAGATTCGTTGAGTCCCCACAAACAGCTTATTGCATGCCAGACTATGTTCTGTTGTTCCTCAGATTGTCCACCAAAGCATTTATTTTTCTCATTAAAAGATGTCAGCATGTTGTGTTAAATTTGTTTTGCTCTCTCCATCCTTACTGGAGGGTTGGTGTAATAGCCTTGGTTTAGATTGCTTCTTTTCTCTCATCTGGGTGTTCTGTTCCTCACAACAGCAACAAAATTCACATCAATAAATCTGAGTAAACCTTTTGTCACTTGAAGAATACTTCTTTTGTGTGTCCAAATAGTGTTTTTTATTGTGAGTAAATTGGAACTCAATAATAAAAACATGTTCGTAAAGTCATAGAAGCATGCTTTCTACACCCCTCTGGCAAACGCTTGCCGAGTTTTGACAGAAACTTGTTCTAGATTTTATATGCTGAGGACAGTTGTTTCCTCATGCTGTAGTCTTCAGTGTCACGGTCACATGCTATAATTTCTTCTTTAGTTAGGGCCTGATCCTAGGCCCACTGCAGTCAGTGTTAAAAATCTCATTGACTTGCATGGGATTTGTTTCATACCCTCAGTGTGCATGACAGATGTAGTGTAATGGATGCGGCAGATGACCAGTATTTATATTTATCCTTACTCTTCAGTAAGTGTCCTCTAACTCATTCACTACACACTGTCCATCCTGTGCACTGAGGACCCTCACTGAGGGGTGAGGAGTTCTGATTGGTGGAAGTGATGTTATTTTTGCTTTTCTTCGTTCTAGCTTCTGAGAAGAGTGAGAGTGTATCTCTGCCCTTTTAGCTGCAGGGAGGAGTGGTGGCAGGATTTCCCCTTCCGACTGACACACTAGCAAATGGGAATATTCTTCATTTCTAGTTTTTGTGAGGTCAGCAAATACATCCTCCATTCCTATCTGCAAGAACATGGGGGATTTCTGTCCTCTTCCTCTCTGATGCTTGGTGTGATGGGTGCTCTTGTTTCTGAGGTAGTAGTTGATCTTTTATTCCTCCCTTCACTCCGTGTACTAACAGGAAAGATGTGACATCTCTTATGCAGCTGGGTCTTACAGAGAAGTACTGGGTGGTGCTTCCTTCCATAGCAGAGTGGGAATAGATGCTGTGGTGTTACCACTGCCCGCTTCCAGGAAAAGAGAGCATGTATCTCACTCAGAGAGTCAGGGTGTGATCTTGGAGACAAGGGATGGGGGAGAGGCAGAAGGTCACAAGAGACATGACATGACAGGATTAACACTAGACCTTGTGTAACTGCTAAGCTCAATACTGCTTCTCAGCCCTCCTTTTCAATGCTGTGACTTGTTTCTTCAGGAGGCAGCAACAGCAGCAGTTGATAGCAATTAACTGCATGCATGATGCTTATGGCTGCCAAATTTGGAGGCCCCCTGAAGCAATGGTGCCTGGACCCAGTACACATGGGATCCTGTCTTACTGCACATTGTAGGGATTTAAGTCTAATGATTCTTAATGGCAATGACTGCTGCTTTATTGGGATGGTAATTACGTTTAATTGGGAGGCTACAGGTGATTTAGTGGTTCTTAGTTCTTTGTGTGTCTCAATTTCATCCTGATTCTATTTGTTTGCTTCTTAAACAACAGCAGTTTTCAATCCCTGCTTAGCTGTGATATACACAGAGCGTATGAAGTGCTTCAAAAAAAAAAGAGTACTTGTGGCACCTTAGAGACTAACAAAATTATTTGAGCATCAGCTTTTGTGAGCTACAGCTCACTTCATCGGATGCATGCAGTGGAATTTCCACTGTATTTCCCGCTGCATGAATCCGATGAAGTGAGCAGTAGCTCACGAAAACTTATGCTCAAATAAATTTGTTAGTCTCCAAGGTGCCATAAGTACTCCTTTTCTTTTTACGGATATAGATTAACACGGCTGCTACTCTGAAGTGCTTCAGGATGTCTTGCTCCGGCTGCGAGAACGTTCCCTCCAAAACAGTGACATACACCGGGTCACTGTGTTAGGAATCTCACATCTGCCCCTCCTCCAGCATTGGGCAGGATTCAAAGTTTCAGTTTTGGTGCATTGTTAGTGTGACTGAATTTTTTTTTACATATTTCAGACAATATTATGCTGCGGGAAAATATAAACACAAACACACACACACACACAGTGTGTGTGTGTTATGTCTGTAGTACATACGTAGGGTGAAATCTTGAGCCTTTTGAAGTTGGTGGGAGTTTTGCCATTGACTTCAGTGGGGCCAGGAATTCTCTCATATTTTGCTTGTGAACAATTCACTTTGATCTCTGCAGATACATTTGATATATACTTTTCTGTTAACCTTGTCCCTAAATCCACTTGTTCTGCTAAGCCTATCAGTAACAATATCAACATGATATTCTTTTATTTTATTTGTTCACTGTATACTGTTGAAGGCAGCAATTTTAAAACTTGGTCGATTGCTGGGCAAATGCAATGTGCAGTGACGCCCATGTGTAGTTATCTATATAATAAGATTACTGGGATGTCACTCTCTGTGTCACTCTGAAGCCTAAACTGTCTAAATCAGTGTGAAGTGATGGAAGCTGCTACAAGCATGGTTGAGAGCTTTCAGTCTGTTACTGTCCAATTTTTTAATTTCTCAGTCACTTTGACTTTATGAATTACCGTAGCTGTACATCACACAGGTATAAAGTATGTATCTGTGCCATGCCGAGAGTTTTAGACCTTTGTGATATTGGAGGTGGCTCAACCGATTATTACCCTTACTTAACGTGCATGCAGCAATTTTATTGGTTATATGAGGGTGACTGGACAGACAGTGGATTACCCATCTCCTGTTTTGGTCAATGGGCCTGAAGCCAGCAAGTGGCTGCTGTTTCCCTACAGTTTATCCGCATGGGGGAATGAGGCTGCCCTTAATGAGGTTGGCTGCCTCCTCCCATTGTTTTCAATGCGACTGAAGCCATCCCCACACACACAATGGCTGCCACACTATCATTGATGTACTACACAGGGAATGTGAGGAGAAGTAGAGACTCTGTGAAAGGTGAATGGGGATAATGATGGGGAGCGGGGTGCTGGGGAGGACCAGGAGTCTGATGATGTTTCAGGGGAATGGGGTGCTGTGTTGTTTGGGGACAGGAGAGAGGCTAAGCTGGGCACAGAGGATAGTGGTGGGGATGGGAGATGGAGGGGGTAGAACAACAGCTCCCCCAGCCTGGGTGTAGTGGTTGGTAAGGGGGGTCCCCTCCAAGCAGCCAGGGGAAGGCAGTGTTGTAGTGTTGCCAGCTCTCACAAACTGATCACAAGTCCCAGGATTTTAGGGATGACTCAAGAAGCTTCCCTGTTCCCACAGTCTTCAGGAGGGGTCATGTTGGCAGCACTCTGTTCTAGAGCCCTGGGGCTGAGGATGCAGACCTGCCCTGCCACTGAGCCCTGCCTTCATGTAATGCCCTATAGGAGAGAGAGGGTCCAGGGGCAGCATGATGTGGGTGGAGGAGGGGGAATTTGGGAAGTGGTGCTACTGGGACCTGGGCAGAGGAGAAACCCCAGAGCAGTTGGAGAGTGGGGGAGTCAGGGAAATGGTGCTTCGGGTACAAAGAACTAGAACAGAGGTTGGTATGTTTGAGTTAGGTGAAGTGCACTGAAGTTGTCACATGCACATTATTAAATTGCAATTTTTACATGTTTTGCATTCATATGCTTGTTGCCTAATATTTTTGTCCAGGAGTCACATGACTCTACAGATTTCATGGGGGCAATAGCACAGACTTTCAGCTAGTGAGATTATATAATCAATACATGATTACTATTTTTTACCTTCTCAGGAATTCTGGAGGTTTTGCACTGTGTGTTGGTGGAAAGTCCAGAAGCTCTAAACATTATTAAGGAAGGACATATTAAATCGATTATCTGTCTTTTGGACAAACATGGAAGAAACCATAAGGTATGTAAGATATTTCTCTGAATAAAGGAACTGCACTGAATAAGAAAAGCAGGTTATCTGTAAAAGTGAAATTCCAAATGGTAAAATGTGTATCTCATTCGAAGGGATGGGGTATCAATACAGTTCCCTTCAGTAGTCCATGCTGATTCTTAATGTTCTAATATGAAAAGTAAATTACAGTGAAAAGAACTTAATTTCTTTTATAGGTTTTAGATGTCTTGTGCTCTCTATGTGTATGCCATGGAGTCGCTGTGCGGTCTAATCAACATCTAATCTGTGACAATCTCCTACCAGGAAGAGATCTCCTCCTACAGACACGCCTTGTGAACCATGTGAGCAGGTAAAAGAAAAATATTTACTTAAATATAGATCAGCAAAGCAAAAGGAATCTGAGTTCTTGTGCTAAGACGATATCTGCAGTCATTAAGAGAAAAATCTATTTAACCATAGCACAGGAATCACCTCTGTGAATCTTTCTAAAGACAATGCGTTAACTGGCATATTGTGGCTTTGATAAATTATATCCATAAGAATCTGAACAGGAACTATAGCCAGCTGTCGTAAGTAAAAGCAAACCTAAACTTAATTCTGGGGCAGTGTTGCAGTAGTTAGAGAACCGGACAGCTCTAAATGGCTCCCTGATACACCCCCATTCCTACACTGAGCATATGCTTATGCAGGAGAGAATTTGACCTTTCAAGTGAAGGGTCCTATACAAGCAAATAAGTCATTTAATCATTGAGTGGGAGGAAAAATGTAAATATAAAAATGTGAATGATAACAATGTGATAACAAAAAGAAAAGGAGTACTTGTGGCACCTTAGAGACTAACCAATTTATTTGAGCATAATTTTTCGTGAGCTACAGCTCACTTCATCGGATGCATTCAGTGGAATTTTTTATGCTCAAATAAATTGGTTAGTCTCTAAGGTGCCACAAGTACTCCTTTTCTTTTTGAGAATACAGACTAACATGGCTGCTACTCTGAAATGTGATAACAGATTTTTTAAAAGTCTTTTAAAATCAAGATTGGATACCTTCCTTAAAAAACAAAACAAAAAACCACAGGCTCTAGCTCAAACAGAATTTATGGACTTGTGAAATCGTTGGGTGAAGTTCTATGGCCTGTGTTACACAGGAGGTCACACTAGATGATCACAATGATCCCTTCTGGCCTTAAAATCTATGAATGAACTTCTGTACCTCATTTTAGTGGTCTATATTGCTAATTTGCACGAATGGCTGGTATACCATTATGAATTATTGGATTTACAAATTGGTGAATAAGTGAACATTTATTTTACAAATTTATTGTAGTTTTAGTTATAACATTTCACAGTAAAGTGTTCTGTAGTACATTTTATAAGTGTAATAAAGTCCTAGTACTGCAGAATGAGACCATTCTACAGTATCTACTCACTATACTTTTTCTGTTGGTGCGGGAAGAGGCTGTCATTATTGTGTGTGCAAATTTGAAGGTGTGCAATGTGAATTAGTAAAGTTGTACAGTAGAACCTTAAAATTACAAACACCAAAGTTACGAACTGACTGGCCAACCACACACCTCAGCTGGACCCGGAAGTATGCAATCAGGCAGCAGCAGAAACAAATAAAAAAAATTAAGGGAAAGGGAACTGTTTTGGTGCTTGGTTCATTTAAATTAAGATGGTTAAAAGCAGCATTTTTCTTCTGCATAGTACAAGCTATATTTTTCAAAGCTATATTAACTCAATGTTCAGTTGTAAACTTGAAAGAACAACCATAAGAGTTACAAACAACCACTATTCCCAAGATTCTACTGTACTTAAAAGTGCACAGTATTATTACAGGTATTTGATTAGTAGTGCTGGTTTAATTGCTGAAAATTACAATTTTGATTGAACTGTATGGGAAGCTTTTCCACCAGAAATTTTGAAGAACTTTCATTTTGTTCTTCACTTCTAATGAAACAAGACATACATTCAATAAGTGGTAAACACAAATTGAGAAAAAGAAATCTAACTACTGTAACATGTTCTTCTGATCTGTTTTTATGGCTAGCCATTTTCCTCCTTTGTTTTAAGCATGAGACCCAATATCTTCCTTGGGATCAGCGAAGGCTCCGCCCAATACAGAAAATGGTACTATGAGCTTATGGTGGACTATGTGGAGCCCTTTGTGACAGCAGAAGCTACTCATCTTCGAGTGGGCTGGGCTTCAACAGAGGGCTATTCACCCTACCCTGGGGGAGGTGAAGAATGGGGTGGAAATGGTGTTGGCGATGACCTGTACTCTTATGGATTTGATGGTCTTCATCTGTGGTCAGGTAAAGCATTTTTAATTTCTCGATAAAGGGATGTGGGGCAGCCATTTCCAGTAAGTCTGTGGTATCTAGCAGCATCAAAATAAATCATGTATGTAGATGACATGGGGAGTAGATGGCCAGCCCTCTGTGGAGAAAGAGCTGGTTAGGGACTATTTAGAAAAGCTGGACATGCACAAATCCATGGGGCTAGACGAGTTGCATCTGAAAGTGCTAAAGGAATTGGCGGCTGTGATTGCAGAGCCATTGGCCATTATCTTTGAAAACTTGTGGCGAACGGGGGAAGTCCCAGATGACTGGAAAAAGGCTAATGTAGTGCCAATCTTTAAAAAAGGGAAGAAGGAGGATCCTGGGAACTACAGACCAGTCAGCCTCACCTCAGTCCCCGGAAAAGTCATGGAGCAGGTCCTCAAGGAATCAATCCTGAAGCACTTACATGAGAGGAAAGTGATCAGGAACAGTCAGCATGGATTCACCAAGGGAAGGTCATGCCTGACTAATCTAATTGCCTTCTATGATGAGATTACTGGTTCTGTGGATGAAGGGAAAGCAGTGGATGTATTGTTTCTTGACTTTAGCAAAGCTTTTGACACGGTCTCCCACAGTATTCTTGTCAGCAAGTTAAAGAAGTATGGGCTGGATGAATGCACTATAAGGTGGGTAGAAAGTTGGCTAGATTGTCGGGCTCAACGGGTAGTGATCAATGGCTCCATGTCTAGTTGGCAGCCGGTATCAAGTGGAGTGCCCCAGGGGTCGGTCCTGGGGCTGGTTTTGTTCAATAACTGCATAAATGATCTGGAGGATAGTGTGGATTGCACTCTCAGCAAATTTGTGGATGATACTAAACTGGGAGGAGTGGTTGATACGCTGGAGGGCAGGGATAGGATACAGAGGGACCTAGACAAATTGGAGGATTGGGCCAAAAGAAATCTGATGAGGTTCAATAAGGATAAGTGCAGGGTCCTGCACTTAGGACGGAAGAACCCAATGCACAGCTACAGACTAAGGACCGAATGGCTAGGCAGCAGTTCTGCGGAAAAGGACCTAGGGGTGACAGTGGACGAGAAGCTGGATATGAGTCAGCAGTGTGCCCTTGTTGCCAAGAAGGCCAGTGGCATTTTGGGATGTATAAGTAGGGGCATAGCGAGCAGATCGAGGGACGTGATCATTCCCCTCTATTCGACATTGGTGAGGCCTCATCTGGAGTACTGTGTCCAGTTTTGGGCCCCACACTACAAGAAGGATGTGGATAAATTGGAGAGAGTCCAGCGAAGGGCAAGAAAAATTATTAGGGTCTGGAACACATGAGTTATGAGGAGAGGCTGAGGGAACTGGGATTGTTTAGTCTGCAGAAGAGAAGAATGGAGGGGATTTGATAGCTGCTTTCAACTACCTGAGAGGTGATTCCAGAGAGGATGGTTCTAGACTATTCTCAGTGGTAGAAGAGGACAGGACAAGGAGTAATGGTCTCAAGTTGCAGTGGGGGAGGTTTAGATTGGATATTAGGAAAAACTTCTTCACTAGGAGGGTGGTGAAACACTGGACTGCGTTACATAGGGAGGTGGTACAATCTCCTTCCTTAGAAGTTTTTAAGGTCAGGCTTGAGAAAGCCCTGGCTGGGATGATTTAATTGGGGATTGGTCCTGCTTTGAGCAGGGGGTTGGACTAGATGACCTCCTGAGGTCCCTTCCAACCCTGATATTCTATGATTCTATGAATGCTAGGGCATTTGGGGTAAAATGCAGAATCAGAGTTCCATTCTGGTTTTTTTTAAGTTGACTACTCTCATCTAAAAGATAGTTGAATTCAAAACAATGCAATTTATAGATGGAATCATATTTTTTTTTTAACAGTGCATTCCAAAGCTTTGCTTTAAAACTTCAAAGGTACAGAAAATGAAGTCTGACAAGCATTCTCACAGTGGTAGACTGGATTTCTAATCCCTCTGTGATATTATAAAACCAACATGAGATATTTAGGCCATATCAATTTGGGGTGGGGGGGTTCTTTGATATACTCATTTTAGTTCAAATGTTTAGAAATTCTTAAAGCCAGACAATGGGGACTTACGTAAGCATACTGGCCTATCCATTCTGTGTATGTGATGCATATTGAGTTTGTTTGAATATGTAGGAAGGAAACTTTTGTGTCATACATTTTAAAAGTACTTCTCTGTGTTTCTGTTCAGATAGAAGGGAATGCATTGATGGTGGGGTTTTCAAAGCCACCCAGGTGATTTGGACATAATCCTTAAGCAGCTTCGAAAAATCTCAGTGTAAATGTGTAAACCACTCCTGTAGATGCCATTACAGGACATGTTCTGAGAAGTTTAGATGCTGGATATTAAGTATGTATGCATGTGATGTGTGTGAATGGGTTATCTTAATAGAATACAATATGATATGATATTCACCAGGTAGGGAAGATGGAAGAAACAGAGACTATTTAGCAGTGATATAAATATTTTAGTTGCATAAATTTAGATTGACTGCATGTCTCATGAATGTTTGTGTGTTTAGACTGGAAATCCAATCATAAAAGTGTCACTGGCCCAGGATAGAATTAATCTGAAATCATAGTTTTTACCCTTACATGAGAGAAGTATTGTGTGCTAACTGTAGGAGAGGCACTGGATATACTATTGGAATTAATCAGTTTTGTTTTTTCTTTTGCAAAAACCTTATTCTATTGCTGACTGAGGCCACTGTGGTGATATCAAGTATCACAGAGAAAAATATGTTCTCCATATTTGTCATAAACTTATGCCAAGAAAGCCTATGCATAGCACAGTATCCATATATTTCTATTCTCTGACACTGTCTCCCTTTTTTCCTCATCTGTGCTGATCATGTGCATCCCCTGAGCTGAGGTTTGTTTGTTTTTTAAACCTCTATCCCCGGCATGTCTTTCTTCTGAGTCTCCTGCAAACTGAATAAGTTTGCCAGTTGGAGCTCTTGTCCCAGTGACTTAGACTGGTGAACTAAAGAAGTCTTGCTAGATGGAGAAGGTACCTTCTCCTCCACAGAACTACGAGTTTTTAATTCTCTGTTTAGCTGGGGTTGAAATTAGAGCTGTGTGATTGTGAAGAATTGGACCTTATAGGTCACTGTACGTTGGAAATGAAAGGGATGTTTGTGTCGTCGAGGTGTGTGTGAGAGCATTTGGATATTCTGATCTGGTAAGGCGTGTAAATTGAGGTTGGTCTGGATGTTAGTTGTCCCAACTGATGTTTTTAAGTGTTGAATTGATAGGATATGCACTTGAGCATTAATTGAACTCTAAGGGTCTGCCTACATAGTACCAAAAACAACCCCCCTCACCGTGGCAGTGAGTCTTGGAGTCTGGATCAATTGACTCAAACTCGTGTTGTGGGGCTAAAAATAGCCGTGTAGATGTTTGGGCTTGGTTTGGAGCCTGAGACCTCCTCAGCTTCAAAGGAATCATAATGAAATATCTCAGAGACGCAGCAGCACGGGAGCTCTGGGATGGGCAGGAGGTACTGTAGGCAAGAGAATACTTTAGAAGCCAGAAACTACTTAAATATAAAATGAATGGAGTGGGAGAGAGTGGTTTTGTTTTTTGAGAGAAAACAGTAGAAATTTTCTCTCTCAAGAGTGCTCTTGTACTTTGTTCCTCTTCCAGGATTCCAGTAATCTCATTTTCATTTAAGGTTGCTGTTGCATTTCCAGAGTGAAATGTAACATAATGTCCTTGAGCTGTTTTTGTCCCAGCAGGGGTAACATACAGTATGTATTTTTTGTCCATGATAAATTGCACTCAAATATCTAGTAACATATTAAGCTGTTGCTTCTTAGTGCTGATCCCGGAAAGGTTAGGGAAGAAATGCCAGTTACCATAAAACAAGACAGAGGAGAAATTATTCTTCCAATTTACATATAAGATTTACTTATGATTATGATTGTTACTATTTAATACATGGAGAAAGACTTGCAGCTGATCCTGTGACTTGTGCCTCTGCTGAGTAGAAGAAGATAACAGAGGTCAGTTTTGATTTTAAAAAAAGTAGATTTGTACGTTCATATTTTTATTTTCCATTTTTGCTGAGAAAATTTCCAGGATTAGAATCAATTATTCTTTTATTGAATAAAAAGAAGATCCAATTAACAGTCACTTATATTTTTCGTTGCTATGAGAAAAATTAAAATGACCAGTCTCAAGTAATTTCATGCCACAACAAAAAGCCTGATCAGAGCCATCACGTAAAGTAATTAACTGACTCTCCACCGCATGCTCCAATAGAAAATCCCCCCTCAAGCTACTCAGCCTCCAAATGCCTGGGAAAAGTGATGGAGTTTGAACATCAAACAAGATTCTGGAGAGTAGAATCTTCAAAACACATAAGGCAGCAGGTATGGGCACCTGACTCCAGGAAAATGGAAGGCCATGACATACAATGATTAAACCTGGACTTTTTATCCAGGTCTTTAGAGTCTGTATTGGAAATGATTCCTCAGAGCTCAGCCGGGGATGATCTGTGAATCTAAACTGCACAACCAACATCTCAAATGACCTAATATTATCTAAAGCTAAGTTAAAATTGTCTCGATCACAACTGCTCTTACAAAAAAGGAAGGTTTTTTTTTTTTTTTTTTGTTAAGACAGAGTAAAGTTTTTGGGGCATGGAGCAAAGGTCCCTATACCCACAGTTTGCCACCAAAAGGAAGGAAAAGAGACATCTGGGGACCACACAACCTATTGTAATCTCAGTGTTGCAAGGTGATGGGTGCTCATGAGGTCCTAGAGAGCACTGTTTTCCCAGGAGGTTCCTGAAGCTCATTGGCACAGAAAGGGCTTATCTTCTTTTTGATAAAGAATTCAGTCTGTTCAGCATAAGTCTTTCACTGTAAAGCATTTTCTCCATTCCTCAAGTTATTTTTGTGGCTCTTTTTTGCACCTTATCGAATTTTCAACCTTATTTTTACAGGGAGGACCTGAGAACTGGCAGTGCAAGTGGGGCGGTCCGGTCCGCCATACCAGCAAGATCTTTATAGCGTACCGGAAAGACAAGGGCCCCATGCCGGCAGGTCCTCTGGCACAGCTGTACTGCCCCCAGCCCTCCCACGCAGCGTGTCCTCTCCTGAACCACAGGGCTCTCCCAAGAACCGCAGTGGGGAAAAGAGCAGAAAGTTGGGCTAAGAGGTGGCCCCACGCCAGGAGCTCCTCACGCTGGCAGCTGTACCGCCCCCAGTCCCACCCCCAGCCCTGTCTTCTGGGAGGGCTGCTGTACAGACAGAGGAGACCCTGCATGGAAGGGTTGGGTGGTACAGCCGCACCGGAGGAGCTGCAGGCGTGGGGCCTCAAGTTCTGCTCCTTTCGCACTGTGGTTCTGAAGTCTCCAGTGCAGTGGGAGGGAGGAGGACAGGGACCCACCTCTCCCTAGGGTAAGGGAGGGTGGATCATGGGGAGGGGACAGGGAGAGCGTGGAGGCATCAGGCTGGGGGTGGGGCGGGGAGGAATCATGTGGAGAGTCACGTGAGGAGGTCACGTGCCTCCCATTTTCTGCTGCCCCCCCCCCCCGGTAAGAAATGGATTACATTTGCACCACTAATGAGAACTGTATGTAGTATTCTAATATCTGTTTTACCAATGAAGCATACTGAGATCAAATCACCTTTCTGCTATTGCTTACTACTCAGTTTATGTAACTAAGGGTCACATTAGCCCTTTTTGACACCATAAGTGGCTAATAGAGTTTAACTGTAGGGTTCTGTACTTAATATGCACTCTGCTTTGCCCCACGTATTCCAAAAATTATAGGTCTCATTTTTAAAATCCATTTCCAGAGGTTTTTCACTTGCATATTTCTTCCCATATCTCACGTTATAGATAAACAAAATGCCAGAAGTGTGTTATATCTTACTTCCAATTTCTTCTGTAGATGACTCTTCTTGGAGATCAGGAATTTTATATGTAATACAATGAGATGTGTTATTTAAATGGGTGCAGGGGAAGAGAATGGTACATTCCAGGGTTAATTGAAATCAGAGCAAAGTAACAGACACCTCTATGGTGAAAAAGTATTTACTAATCTTCATTATTTCTGTTTTAGAGCTTGATTATGATACCTTTTATTTATGCTGAGTAGTACAGTACTCCACAGAGTAAACAAGCATACCACAGTCTGGCCCTTAATAATGATACTTCCTGATTTTACATCTTCAAATCACTTTACAAAGAACAAATTTATGTTTATCTTGGATGATGAGACATATTATAGATTAGCATTTTGATATATTTTACTCCACACTATATCATGGGCTCGTTGATGATAGAAGAGAAGATCTAATTTTATTTTTATGATTAAGATATTCAGCACTCTTCATACGTTGTACAGAATTTGATAACTGAAACAAAAGTCAAAATAATACACATTTCTAACGCAAACGTGTGACATGCATTGTTAGTTTCATCTTCAATTAATGTTCTGGGGAGTTGGGTTCATTGAGTGTATACATTAAACTATATTTACATAGAATATAAAAGGAAGGAATTTTTGACACAAGCTCCTATTGTGATTGTGGGGTTTGGATGCTCAGTAGTGATATGAAGGACTTTTATTTCCAACCACCCTGGCAACAAGCACCAAAAGTCTGAAATACTGATCTTCTATTGGTCAGTGGCTCAGAAGCATCCCTAGAGAGCCCAGGTAAGATCCTGGCCAGCTAATGTAGGCATTTTTTTAATAAGGTGTATTTTTTTCTCCTTCAGGTTTTAATCCACTTTTTGGAATTTGGAATTGTGGTGTAAATGGGGGTAAAATTTCAGTTTTATGAGTTTTTTTGAGCCTCAAAATAGGACCATTATTTATTTCCAGATGCATTAAGCACAAATGTGCAATAATTAAAATAATATTTGCAGATGCCAGTGAGTGCATATCTGCACTTTATTACAAGTTTACTATTAATTCTTTGATAATCTAGTATTGATATCTCTGAATCCAGGCACATGTACTCCATATGTTTACCTCATTATTATTTTTTTTTAAGTAAAATTTTTAGGTTTTAGTGAAACCTTTTCTATGTGACTCTCTAAAGTTGTTCTAAATGTGTTTCCTTTTCTCCATAGGCTGTATTGCACGGACAGTGAATTCTCCCAATCCTCATCTGTTAAGAACGGATGATGTTATCAGCTGCTGTTTGGATCTGAGTGCCCCAAGCATCTCATTCCGGATAAATGGTCAACCAGTTCAAGGGATGTTTGAGAATTTCAACATAGATGGCCTCTTCTTTCCAGTTGTCAGCTTTGCTGCAGGAATAAAGTTAGCATCCATTGTAGTTTTTCCTGTTTTCAGTGAACATGTCCAATTATTCCCCTGCTACCATCCCCCTCATTTCCCTTTCTGACATCTGCCTTCTTGGCATGTTGCCTGTTCCATAAAGGTGGAGTGAGGTAAGAGCTGAAAGGAGTCCTGAAGGGATAGTGCACCTGGCATTTGTCAGCATGCGAACATGTTCAGGTAGTTCACTAATATACTCCACTTAGGATTTAACAACATCTTCTGTCTCCTTTCTTAGCTGCCAGCACAACATACATTGCTAACATTTGGTGCCAGGCCAGCCTTTAAGCCAAACTAAAAGAAAAACATCCATTTATGTACATGAATTTTTCTGATTTCTGCAATGTAAAAAAATGTACTTTCCATAATGCACCTATGGCAGTGTAGTCTCTGTTAGTTGAAGATACACAAGCACAATTGGTCAGTTCTGTCTGCTGATTAGGTGCACTCTGGGATTTCTTGCTAAAGCTAAACTCTCATAGTATCGTCTACCAGTAAAATGTTCTAACTAAAACTAAAAGCTGGCTCTTTTGGGACCTGGAAAAGAGCTCTCTGTAAGCTCGAAAGCTTGTGTCTCTCCAACTGAAGTTGGTCCAATAAAAAGATATTACCTCATCTACCTTGTCTCTCCAGTAAAATGTTCTAGCACCTATAATCTGGCCTCAGTTACACATGCTCATGTCACTTCCTGGCTGTACTACAGCAATGCTATCTTCCTGCATATGCAGCTGTGGGCCCCCAAGGACCATCAACTAGTACAGAATGCAGTAGCTTGTTTCTTCAGCAACACAGGCTACTGCTAGGACATTTAACCTGTATTCTGCTCACAGTGCAGTTTTCCAATAGAATAACAACTGAGATTCAAGGTCTTGGTCCTCTAATTCAAAGGTGCTCAATGGTTTGGGCTCATGCTACCGAAAAGATTGCTTCACATTTTTGGATCCAGAGTACCGTCTGCAGGCCTGTTGCCCAGGCACAATGGAACCACATACTGCAAGGCTAAATCCAATCTATGCAGGCCCAAAGCTTTGCTGTAACCGCTCCAAGACTGTGGGACAAACTCCTACAGGAATTAACCATCATCAATCATACCTTTCATTCTAAATGCAAAGTGTACTTTTCCACATTACTTCTGCTAATATATACATATAATACAATGTACATATAACAAATTATATTAAAAAAATCCTCCCCACATAATTTCTCCTTGAGAGAAGGAGAAAGAAAGAAAGAACCATATGTGAATGATATTAGTCAAATAGCTCAATGGTCTTCTGGAAGGTGTTGAGATACTACTGGGATGAGGGCCATATAAGAACCAGAATAGAATAAAATTCAAATACACAACGTTCTCCTGTGGTGTAACTCTACTGAAGCCATTATAGTTACACTAGGGATTAATTGACTTTTTTTTTTAGTATCTTCCAAATCACACTGCACCAAGATGAATTTCTCAGTTTTGTATCACTAATTTATGCTCATCTCTGTACTCAGAGAGCCTTGCAGTGGCAAAAGTGATAGGCATCATTGTACAGCTACAGAACATGGAAATGTGGAAAACTTGTACTCTTGAAAGTAAAATGAGTTTTTTTGTGTTATGTTCTGAAGGTTTCACATGCTATTGGAGAGAGTATGGAATGATTTTCCATTGAGTTTTTGGGTCTCATTTTTCAAATCTCCCAAACTTCAGGGATGTCAGAGGGAAAGGTTCTGGGCCTAGTTTTAGCTCTGATTGGCAGTCTGTCTGTCTCCAGGGTTGTGGCCAAACTTTGGATGCTTGGAAGGTTATTGACTTCTAGGCATCTTTAGCAAGCTGGTGTTCTCTCACTTTCTTCTCCATTATCCTCCATCTCTCTAAAACTCTTGAATAAAAGGTGGAGATTAGCTTGTGGAGTGGCTAAATCTCTTCTAGTTATGCACCTGTTCCTTCTTCATTCCTTCTTTCTCCCCACAATCCCCAGTGCTAATTACCAGGTTACATTTGAGAGGAAAATGTTTAATATGGTGAAGAAGTTGCAGGTTTTAGGTTGCCATTGAGGGCAAAAGACTAACCACAGATTTGTACTGGAGGTGTTATGATTGCATAAATTGCTGCTGTTGTTTACAGGGTACGTTTTCTGCTTGGAGGCCGCCATGGAGAATTCAAATTCCTGCCTCCACTTGGGTATGCACCTTGCTTTGAAGCTGTTCTACCAAAAGAGAAGCTAAAAGTAGAACATAGCCGAGAATACAAACAGGATCACCAATGTACAAGAGACCTATTGGGTCCAACCATCTCTTTATCCCAAGCAGCCTTCACACCAGTTCCCGTGGATACTAGCCAGGTAAGGGAACTAAACACCACAGTCTTTCTCAACTATAGACATTGCAGGCTCAGGTTAGCTTCATGTTTGAGCTTGCAACTTGTTTCAAACATGTGGGTTTCCTTTCTGTGCTGATTTGGTACATTTTATTGCTAACCATTGAGAATACTGGGACATGCAAAGCACAATAAAGAACTTGTTGCTACCTTTTAGAAATTTTATTTATTTCACATTCACGAGCCTTAGGACATCACATGTTGTTTTATCCTTGGAGTGAAACTAGATTAAAACAGAGTGACCTTTGAAGTAGTGGTAACTGTGGGGATGATACAAGTATTTTATTATTGAACTTTTTATTGATACAATGTTTTAAAGGTGAAGGCTTGTGATCATGTTAGATGCACTGGGCCACGTTTAACCCTGTTTTATTTACTGAGGTTGCCATGTGACTGAGAGCAGAGTTTGGCTCATTATGCACAGAAAATGGTATAAATTAAACTTGCATTATCCTTGTGCTTTATTGAATATCGGTATTTATTATGGAGAAATAGAAAAGTTGACAAATGAAGGCTAACATTAAAGAGAAATGTGCTTCTAGCTCCAGCTATGACAACAGATAGCAAGTAGTCTGTTTAATTGGGTTGATCCTTAGAGAGGCAACTGACGCATCCCCAGAATGCCGGCCATTGCTACACTTCTGGAATGGTGTGGGCCCGCCCCCACTGGCATGACCTCCCACACACCAGGCATGTGAGGTCGCACCAGTGGGGATGGAGCAAAATGACATTCTCCACGGTACCACCAGGCAGGGACAAACCTTTCCAAAAACAGGACTGTCTGGCTTAAAACTGGATGAATGGCCTGCCTGTTGATCCTGCTCCCACTGAAATGAATGGAAATATTGCCATTGGCTTCAGTGTATACAGGATCAGGCCCTAAATGTTCACTTTTAGTGAACTTTCAGCCATAAAATGGTTGAACAAGAAAGAACAAATCCTCCTGTGAAACAGACAGCACATGTCCAGCTATGTAATATGCAGCTTTTAAGGTAGACTAAGGCTGAGGTATACATGTTTTGACAGTGCTCTTTTATACAGTAATGACTCTGAGACAGCTTGCTGGAGATTTGTATGTTTAATAAATATAACTCTTCTGTTTTGTGGGTCCTGTCATGTAATAGTGGTGAGTAATGTAATATCAGGTTTGTTAATAATTTAGCACTATGTTCCAGGAGTCTGTTTTTTGCAGGAGAGTGGAACTGATTTCGGGGAGAGCTAGGGTGATTTGTATTCCTGATTTCCCTTACAGGGCTTTTTTTACCCAGTCCCCTCCCAATCCTACTCTTTCTTCAAAGTTGGCCCCAAAAGATTGATCTTCTGCAAGTTTGTTTGGCAGCACCTCTGCTTCATCTCACCGATATAGTGGAGTGGTTTCAGTGGCAAATTCTTTTTCTCATGCATCCCCGCATCAGGCTCCTGGATCAGTGCCACTCCTGCTCTGACTTTTGCCAGTTACGCTCATAACTGCCTCCTAGCTCCCCTTTGTGCACTGAGTAGGGAAGCAGCAGCAAGGTGGATCAGCCAAAGGGAGGACAAATCAAAATTGCCTGCTAATCACAAAACTGAAGGGGACCCTTCCCCTGCAACGCAATCCCGACTCTTGGAAGGAAGCCCAATGGCAGATTTTCTTCCTTCCTGCCCCTGACCTTTCCTAGTCTTGGCTAACATTAACATTGGCGTTCTGGGGATAATTTAAGGACAGGCCATGGAACTTTGTAAGGGCTCCACCATTTATAGCATTACCCTGTAAAATAGTGTGTTTGGTGTGAAAGGGTGGCTGCTTTTGTTCCCTCGTAGTATTTCCCAGTGCACCCTGAACAACAGACCAGGACATTCATTAGCAGCTTATACTAAAATTATCAGCAGTAAAATAGTCAACAGTATTCACGCTAATAGCATCATCGTTAGGGTTCAGTGTTAACATCTAAATGCGATGGGGTAAAAATGTAAATTCCAACCCCCAGACTACCATTGCCTCTATTTTACAGGAACAAAAGATATCCTAAGAATTCAGTCTCCAAAAAAAGTAGCTTGTTTTTGCAAAACTACATGGGAGAAGAAAGCCCTTCGAGAAATAGTACCAATGATTATATAGCATATTGAATCTGTAATTGTTTTCTCCAGATTCAGTACCCATTTGAAGCTAGTGGGTAATGTGGGATATATTTTGTGAGCACAACTTACCTACACATTTATTTAGATTCTTATAAGGCCACCATTAGAATAGTGTATAAGCTCTGGAAGAGAGTGAAAATGCATTGTACATATTTATACAGCACTTCCCATCAAGACACTTACATTGTGTGTGTGACCTTACTGGTTCTTCCCTACTCAGTGTAGAGAGGGGAGCTAGCAGGCAGGTATGAGAGCAACGTGACTGGAGTTGAGGACAGAAACTTGCACAAAGCTCACTGAATAACATTGGGGAGAGGTGACATTTTGGTCAAGAGCAAGTCACTGCTTTTATGAAAAGTGAAGGCTGACCTATTTTCATGATCTTTAATGTGTTGCGGGAGTCAGAGACTCCCCAAAATTCTGCCTAAAAATTCAGTTTTTCTTTCCATTCCGTACATTTGTAGACAAACTGTTGAATTTTTAAGTTTGTGTTGGCAAAATGACAAAGTGCTTTTCTAGGAAAACGTTGGTAAACTTTTAGACTCCAATTCTGTCTCCAGTGCACTCACTGTCTTAGGAACTGCACTGTGTACTGGGGAGTTTCGTGGGGGATACTGGGGAATCTTTCCTTCTCCCCAGGCGCCACGTGCCCTACTTATCACCAAAACATCAGAACCTCTCTGTCCCCTGGGGGAGGGATAGCTCAGTGGTTTGAGCATTGGTCTGCTAAACCCAGGGTTGTGAGTTCAATCCTTGAGGGGGCCATTTAGGGATCTGGGGCAAAAATTGGTGATTGGTCCCGCTTTGAGCAGGCGGTTGGACTAGATGACCTCCTGAGGTCCCTTCCAACCCTGATATTCTATGATTCTGAGGCAGGCTGGGGCTCCTGCACCAATGGAGGAGTCTGTAGTATTTATATTCCCTTAAACAATTGTTATGGAAAGCATTTTGCTGAAAAATGGACATTTGTGTTAGTGTTTTATCAGGTAACTGAAGAAATACTGTCAGTTTGGACAGCTTCTAGATATTTTGGAGGAATTTTTTTTTCATGTTGTGTCTACATCTCTTTCTCCGTTTCCACTTTCTGGCCCATCTTTAGAGCCATAAAATACTCAGAAATGCATAGATTAACATGTATCTGTCGAAAGAGCACTTGAAAAACATATGAATTTCATTATGGTTGGCTTGAGAGATCTCTAATTTAGTCTAACTGACTATTTACATTAACAATGTTGGTTATGAGAGTACAGTAGCTGGATTGCACAGTAGTACAATTTATCTGTAATAGGCTCTGTCTCTCTTCTGTCTTTAGATTGTATTGCCTCCTCACCTGGAAAGAATTAGAGAAAAATTAGCGGAGAACATCCATGAACTCTGGGTTATGAATAAAATTGAACTTGGCTGGCAGTATGGCCCAGTAAGTACCTTTTTAAATTTCACATTCTGTTAATTATTTTCTTCTTGTACTGTGTGGTGACACCACTCTGATCATACTGGATTTTCTCCATTGCTAAAACGGGGTAGATTTTAACCTTCTCCCCAATAGTTGGAAACCAACAGTATTCATATAGCCAAAAAGCAAAAGCTATTGGGCTAAATCCTGGTGTCCATTAAGGCTGCTTTATGGTGAGTTTTAAAGTCAGTCTAACTGGCGAGGTGTGGATTCCCAGGCTGGTGTAGAAACAGCACAGCTGGCTCTTCTTTTTCAACTTGCACTTGGGCAGGAGACCGTCAGAGGAAAAGAGTGCAAGTGGAGCACCACATCTGTCTTGGCTGCAAAACAGTTTTTGGGGGGCAGTGCAGTGCAATGTAAAGCAGCCGTAAGGCTCCTGTAACATGTCAGGGGCATGCTGTCATTATCTCCCCCACCATGGGTGTGCACTATCTTCCCTCCCCGATAGAAGTGGAAATCATGGTCATGGAGTCAATGAAGTAAAGATCAGGATTAACTCTTGGATGGACTTCTGTTGGTAAACTCACTGGGTTGCCAAGGGAATAAGCCATACAGAACCGGTGCTCCTCAGCATGCCTTGCCTCCCTTGATCAACAAGCACCTGCTAGAGTCCCAGTCTGAGTGTTCATGGAAAAAAATAATTCTGTGGACTCTCAAGGAAAGAGAGTTGCCAGGAAATCTCCAACTGTCCCTCAACCCCTTATGTGAGTTATATTCTTTTTGTGCCTATGTTAAACTATGATTTTATTGTTTATGTATTTCCCTAAACACACTAGGAAAATACAACCTAGATGGAGCTACTATAAGGTGGGTGCATAACTGGTTGGAAAATTGTTCCCAGAGAGTAGTTATCAGTGGTTTACAGTCAAGCTGGAAGGACATATTGAGTGGGGTCCCACAGAGATCAGTTCTGTGTCTGGTTCTGTTCAATATCTTCATCAATGATTTAGATAATGGCATACAGAGCACACTTATAAAGTTTGCGAACAATACCAACCTGGGAGAGGTTGCAAGTACTTTGGAGGATAGGATTAAAATTCAGAATGATCTGGACAAACTGGAGAAATGGTCTGAAGTAAATAGAATGAAATTCAATAAGGACAAATGCAAAATACTCCACTTAGGAGGGAACAATCAGTTGCACACATACAAAATGGGAAAGGACTGCCTAGGAAGGAGTACAGTGGAAAGGGATCTGAGGGTCATAGTGGATCATAAGCTAAATATGAGTTAACAGTGTAACACTGTTGCAGAAAAAAAAAAGGCAAACATCATTCTAGGATGTATGAGCAGGAGTGTTGTAAGCAAGACACAATAAGTAGTTATTCTGCTGTACTCCACGCTGATTAGGTCTCAATTGGAGTATTGTGCCCAGTTCTGGGCGCCACATTTCAGGAAAGATGTGGACAAATTGGAGAAAGTCCAGAGGAGAGCAACATATTCAAAATGCAAAAGTTGTTGTTTTCAAAAAGAAAAAAATACATACAACCTACAAACATACTTTGAACACACAATCTTATTATCAAATAATGTTTACAGTTTGTGGAGCAGAAGAATCTTACAGTACTATTTTGATTTTACTTCAAGTTTAGAGCGTGGGGGGAAGAAGCTGTGATCCAAGACTAAGTAAATTCAATTCATGACTGAAGCGTGGATTTTCATTGGACCCTGCATTGAGTCCTTTTCCCATGTGGATCTCTATATACCGTGAGCAAATTCTGAAATTGAAAGCTTTCAAAATACATTTAAAAAGCGCATCCAATTCTTATCTCAGTGTTCTCTATCTCAGACTGTACAAATCAGTTTCCAATGATTTTGCTCCATGTGGGAGTGGGTAAATCTTTCCATTGTCTGGCCAAAGAACATTATGTAATCCATCTAACCTGAAGAAATATTCCATGTAGATTCCGTTCATGTTAAAAATCAATAAATAACCTGTTCAGTTCAGCTTGATAACCATTATCACGGAGTTTGACAGAAAAAATGAAAAGGAATCAGTCAGAAACGATGACTAAAGATATTTTGAGGGTGTTGTGATATGAAAAAGCTATGGTAAGTAAGTACCATGGCAAATGGTGTCCAGTTCATTTACTGATACATAGGAGATAGTGAGCTGATACTTTCCATATATAAGACAGAGAGAGTCTGATGAGAGAACAAATTTCTTGTTAGCAGTACCACATCTGCGAAAGAACACAAAGTTTTAAAAAAAAATCTGTAGTATTTCATTCTGCGTTTGGACTTATTGTTATGATGTTTTGCTTTTTTTCATTAAGAAACTTAAATAAAAATTGAAGGGAAAAGCTCCTGGATTTGATGCAACATGCTGGGCCAGGCAATCACTTTAAATATAGTAGATGACTTTTTTCTGAGGTCCAAAAAACTTATTTGGCAGCACCTTCATGCCAACACAACTATTACAGACTTTCTTATTTTTTAACTGCGACTGCAAATTCAGCATTTTAGAAGAACAGATCAGGCTAAGAGTTGGGAACTAATTGTACATGGTTTGCTATCTGCACTTCATTGAGGGCCTTTCTTTTCTTGGAACAAGTAAACAAAAACCTATTTATAGCTTTAAGTAAAAAAAATCCAGTTTAAATAATAATACAAATGTTCTATTTGTGTGTCTATATATATCTTCTTACTCTTCTTACTGTATTTTCCACTGCATGCATCCGATGAAGTGGGTTTTAGGCCACAAAAGCTTATGCTCAAATAAATTGGTTAGTCTCTAAGGTGCCACAAGTACTCCTTTTCTTTTTGCGAATACAGACTAACACAGCTGCTACTCTGAAATATAAATATTGTTTTTTAATAGCAATAGTGTAATACTTCGCTTTTGCAGCAAAAAGATCTGAGTGATTTATAATCATTAATGAAGTTATCTTCACAACAGCCCCATGTGGTAAGTATTACGATCCTAATTTTATAGATTTGAAATAACCTTGAGGCACAAAGAGATAAATGATCTGATCACGATCCCATGGAAGTCAGTGGTAATTGTACCACTGGTATCAAGGGAGCAGAATACACCTCTGAGATCAGGCTCCTACGTGCTTGTGGCAGTCTAAATACACAAAATATTATGAATATCACAATAACCAATCCACTGCATTTTCTCATTCCCTGGGGGGGAAATAGTAAATTAAAAATGTGTATTAAAATAATACGAAGGACTTCTTGTTGGGTAAAATATCATATAGTGACATTCTTTTGTTATTTAACAAGGCTCCTGCATAACTGAGGGCTAAATTTTCATTCTCTGTCAAAACACCTGAGTGAACTGACTTCATATGAGGATCTATTCTGAGATAATGGGATGCTCCTACTTCTCAACCTGAAACCAGTGGGTAGAGCAGTGGCAGATCCACTGTGTGGAGGTTACTGCAGCTGTCAGACTGTAGGGTAGCTGCATCTCATTATACACCTCGGTTCAACTTTTGGCCAGTTGAGTTGTATAGTTGCAGGAAGCACTGGCACATGTCCCTTTCCCTACCTTAGTTTACCTATGGCCATTTAACAAACGCTGACATGACCAAATGGAAAATGTTAATCAAGATGCTGCTTCTCAGAGTCTCAAAATTTAAATGACCCAAACGAAAGAAAGTTACTAAGGACCAGACTGTGCTTCCTGGGTATCTGCACGCAGAAGGGATCCTCTGCATGGGAATCCCCCAACTTCCATATGGAACAAAGAGTTCAGCCATCTACCTCTAAGGTACCACCCCTAATCTAGATCCTACAGAAGTGCACAAGGATTGGTAGTTTGGGATGGAGCCAGAAGGATGCACGTTGTCCATCTCTTTCAGTCCCTACACAAATGCATGGGAAAGGGTTGCATCTGTATTGTTTTTCATAAAGCCCTGCAAAGATGGCTGCAACCAAGGGAATCACTGGTAGTGTGGATCCAATGAAGCCATGCTAACAGGGATTGAAAGGGGTTGAATTGTTGCAAGGACGCAGGGCCTTAGAATGAAAGGCACCTGGCCCTCCCAAGGATCTGTTGGGTTTAGGAGTAGGTATTGCAGCTTTTTCCAGCAGGTGCAGGGGCAGTAGAGAGGAGAAGAATCCTCAACTTGTGTTCAGGGATTTTTTTCCCCAGAGCTCTCCCCCCTGAATGTTTCTGCAGAACTGGTGACCTAAATTTTCATGTTTACTATGCCATTTTCAGAGACTGGCATCTGTCAAGAAGCAAAGTTAATTCAAGTTTCAACAACAAACTTGTATGAGTGCCAAAGAAAAAAATATACATCCATTTCCCCCTGCATTCTAGCCCTCTATTGAAAAACTTTTGAACTAAATTTGTTGAGTTAAAAGTACTTTCAGTTCAGCAATTATTGTACTTTTCACTTACACAGCACCTTTTAGCTAATAATTGCAAAGCAAACTTGAATTACTCAAGCCTTGAAACATCCCTGTGAAGTATTATCATCTTTTTATGGATGGTGTAATTGAGACCACAGTGGTTATTGCTTTCTCACTTCAGTGGCAAAGCTAGAAATAATACTCATGACATCTGTCACCCTGTCTATTGTTCTAACTCTTAGGCTCCACTCCCTGATTGAGGCTGATGTCAGAATGAAGCTAAGAATGGAAAGTTTCAGCCTGAAAGGAATATTTTTGGCAAAGCTATGACTGGATGAAATGAAAAGGTTTTGAAAATGACTCCCTTCTTGACTCTACCTCCCATTAATAAGAGTACATTATTTATGCCAATTTTGTATGTGTGCTTTACAGTTTCTGTCTGCTGGTATCCTGCTGGCCATCTTTGAGTCATTTTCTGAAACACATATTGCCTGAATTAAGAGAAGGGGAGGTTTAGCCTTAACTGAATATCATTGTTAGTATGGAATATTTTTTTCTGTATTATGCACATCAGTTGAGCCATGTAAGTCCCATACACAAATTTGCACAAACTACTCTGAGAATGGGAACAGACAGTCCCTAAATGATATTTGAACTGACTTTTTATGATGCAGTCTGTCAAATTATGCTGAGTTCTATGCAATCCTTAATGTCTTGGTTATCTTTGAATAATATTTTTAAGTCTATTTCAGTATGTTTGTCTCAGTGTGTACCTGTTGTGAACTACTGAATAATATGTACTGATGCTCATGTTTAAAATGTATTACATTTTGGATTTGTCTTATTTACTGAGAGCCAAATTTTGCCAATCTTCCTTAATGATTAATGTTTTATGTTCTGAAATTGGGGCTATTTTTGGATCAAAGAAATACCCTGTTTCAGTAGGGCTGACGATCAGTCCCAAGTTTTGAGGGTCTTTTTTTTTTTAATCATTACTATGGTTCTTAAGGCACATTTAAACTCTCTCCGTTATTGTCTTGCAGGTTAGAGATGACAACAAAAGACAACACCCGTGCTTGGTAGAGTTTTCAAAGTTGCCAGAGCAGGAACGAAATTATAATTTACAAATGTCACTTGAGACGCTGAAGTAAGTTTCTACCATCTACAGTCTTACAGCAAGTTTTTTTCATGCAACTAAGCAGCTGTGGTGTCATAAATTCTAATCCAATCAATGAAGTTTGTTTATCTGTAGGGTAGTAATACAGAAACGACAAACTACGGTATATTGATGAATAATAGACTTGAGACTAGAAAAGGCCATACTAGCTAAACAAACTGTGGTACTGAAAGTCCATTTCTCAGTCTCCAGGGAATTTGAAACTCTCCAAGGTATTATAACAATAATTATCTCCCTGCCTCAAAGCAACTTCCTATTAGTACTGACTAGCACTGCCTGCTTTGGTATGTTTGAGATTGTCACACCAACACAATGACATTTTGATAATGATGAAAGGACAAGGAGAGCCATTTTCCCCTGGGACAGAAGGTGTGAGAAGTGGGTCCAAAGTGTACCTCACAGAAGTAGGAGGAACCCTTTATTTTTAACGTTGTTTAGTTCTCATTCTTTAGGCACAGTTTTGCAATAAACAGTGATTTGTGGTCATGAGAAGCTGGATAAGACTTACTTCAGCATTCTTTATCTGGATGGTTGCCACCAGCTCCGACCTGCCGATGAGCACATACATGTGTGAATTTTACAGACCCTCCCAACTTGGAATGCTAGAGTATTTCAGCTGGTCACTATTGCTCATCCTCCATCTGCAGTGTGATGCTGCCACTATATTAATAAGAGACTTTCTTGAAAATTCTCTCCTTACCTGTGATAAAAACCTCAAAACTAGGATGTGTATCGGTTTTCCCTATCTCTCTTCTCTGCAGTTTGTTAATTTGTTTTCCAGTTTAAATATATGGCCTTTTTTGTAACCTTAATTTAGAAAAGAGATGACCCTGCAGAATCAACATACATTTTAAGTGGCACTTTGATGGAAATGTTCCTACTTTCCTCTAAGAAAAATATGCTGTGTATATTGAGAGTATGACTCAGTGTATACCCATGGAGTGTAGGTGCAAAGAACTTTTAGGGGGCTTGAAGCATCCTCCCCAGAACACGTTTTGGAAATACCAGATACTTGGTTAAAATAAATTGCTCTTCTATGAGCACTGGTGAAAAATTGTTTCTGGCAAGAATGTTTTGGCTGTATCCACTTATAAGGTGAACTCCATCCAATGCAGGAAAATCAGCCCAACTTTCTGTTCAGCTAGGTGGCAACATTTCAAGAACAGCTCATGGGATTCTCAATCAGTACAGCACTGTCATTTTCCAAGATAATCTCTGTCCAGTTTGTGAAACTCCAAAAGTGATGCCATCAATTTTGCCTTCAGTCTCAGGGCCAGATTAATTGTTGGATTTATAGAACCATGACATAAACATAGGAAGCCACAGTCTCTCATAACATTTAATGTATACTAATAATATCCCATTGAATACCCATCATGGCTTTTATGGGGTCCTGACATTTTTACAGTCCCAGGTCCTCATAGCCTTCTAATCTGACCTGGGAAAAAACATAAGTCATTTTGTGTATGTATAATATGAAATTAGTTGTTTTGTATAGTGATATTTTTATTACTCATAATATATAGAATCTGCTAGTTAAGTGAATGGAGGGCCACTGTATAGCAACTTGCCCACCCTGCCGCTTTAATAATGCATCTGATTATAGTCCTGCAAGAGCCTTACTTTTGTAATACTGGACCTTTCTTAAGCACACACTGTTAGTTGTATTGTATTATGGTGACTTTGTCATGTAGAAATTTATCCACTAGGAACTAGAATGAGAGTGTCAGACTCTTTTCATTTCTGCTAGTCTACACGAGTGGAAGAATAGTGCATTAATCCACTCTTAATATCCCCTGTAGTGATTTGAATCTGAAGGTACTTTCAGTGTAGCTTGAATAGTCCTTTAACTGAGGTTTTAAATCTATTAGTACTCAACTTCAATGGGGGGGAGAGGGAGAAAGAGGGAAAGGAAGCATCTTTTTTTTTAAAGCTTCTTATAACCCTTTACACAACAATGTCATAGTCTTCACATTTTGTATTAGAGTGTTTGTTCAAAACTTGAAAGCACTGTCTCGAGGTTTGAGGAATAGCTCTGCACTTTAATTAATTTTGTGGTTGTTGACAGTTTTCTGCCAGCCTTACCTGTTCAGAGATGCAGAAATCAAAAAAGACTTGAATCATATCATCTGCCACATCTTTTCTTCTTGTTATGCTTCTATTTCAGTATATTTGATAGTATTATGGTACACCTTCACACATATGAAGTATAAAAATAATATAAACTGTAAAATATCAAAATTCAAGAATGAGTTGTCACTTGAAAATGGTTTAATATTAAAATATGTTTATTTGGTTTTCATGCTATACTATATACCTTAGTCTGTGAGAGGTCCAAGTGATTTCAGTGTGTCTATGTGAATTGTAAATTTAAGGGTGATTATAATCTGACTCAAGGCCCCAGTTTCCTCTTCCTCCACTTGTGGCTCCCTGATTCAGTGCCAGTTGGTCTGGATGCAAATTAGAGCAGGAAGGCTACTGCTATAATTTACTCTGCTTGGGTAAGCTCTCTTATACCAGGGAGGATTTGGTGTAGCAGAACTCAATTTCCCCATTCCACCTCTGCTAGCGGGGGTTCTTTTAATCCAAAGCTCTTGGTAACTTTTACTGTGTGCGAAGTGGTGTCAGGAAATAAGGGAGACACGGCCGTCCGACCGATAGATGGCTGGCACAAACAGGACAACACAAGAGTGTTTTCATTTAAAGCTAAACTTTACTTAGTCTCAAGCATTTACACACATCCGCAACAGGTTAGTAAAACACCCCAAACCCTAGATAATTACTGAAGCTGAGTGTGGCCTTCGAGTGGCACCGTGACAGGCTTCCCGCTGGCCAAACTTCCGTCTGCCAGTGGGGACCCCAAGATGCATCCAGAGGGAGCGTCCAAGAAGAAACCCTTCTGAGAAGTGCAGCTACCTCAAACTTTTCCCCCTTAGTAATACAATGACATATCCCTTAAAGAAAACTTGCTAAGCAAGCAGTTTTTAAAGGTCCAGCAAGAGGTTTTCTTTTGATCATCAATTTAACCAGATATGTTTTGTTTTTTTCAATGTGTCCATGCCTTGGGGCCCTGACAAACATTCCCGGGGGCACATATAGACAGACTTCCTATTTTTCTAAAATACATATATCAGCAATTTTAACATTCTTAGCAGGAAGGATGTGGGGTCAAGCCGCCTTGTCTGTGGCACCTGAACCTCCCTGTCCTCCTGCCTTGGTTACGTTAAGGCTGCATGGCCAATTTACGACCTGCTGACTTGGCTACTTATAGCGATAAGCAGTAGTGGTTCAGTGCTGCCTGCTGACTTGGCTACTGTTAGCAATAAGCAATGGTGGTTTCAGGCATTTTACTGATTTGCCAAAATCTTCCCGTACACCTCCTTCCCACAACACACCTCCCCTCCCCTTACATTGGCAATGGTTGGGAGAGCTGGCATAGAAGGTCGATACACTGTTAGCTGTAAGCCAGCAGATGCTCCCTATGAGCATTCTCCAATGGGAATCTCCAGCTGGTGGCTTTAGTGAAATGGAGAATCTGGGTCTTAGTGTCTAGTCTTACCCTGGATAGGAGAAAGTGATGTGATTAAAGGGTTGAGCCTCTTGTCTAATATACACATTTATACGCTATGAAATACTGTATTGGTGATTGACAAGTAAGTCTTCAGCTATCAAAGAGTTATTTGTGCAATGTCAGAATATTTTTGCACATGCAAGTTGGAGGCAATGTAGAAGACTGAGCCCCTTGTCCTGGATTAAATTTCTGTTTTCTGAGGGTCAGTGGTATAACTCAGTTCATCATCTAGTCTTGTATTGTGCATCAACAATTGAAAATAGTGTTAATAAGTTCTATTTCAGAGCTTATTTTTTCTTTTTGATACTAAAAACAAATACAAATTTATGGGACTGAGCATAAGTTTTAAAAAATAGACCAACAAACATAATTCCTCATTGAAAAATAACCAATAGAAAATTTGGGTTCATAATAGATAACAATACTATTTATTTTTCATACAGTAGAAAAAATAAGATTTAATAATCAGTTGAAGCATATGATCCATCTGCAAGGAGAAATAAATATGGAATTGCATAACACCCTGAGCAGCAGTATGCACCGGAAAGTAAAATCAAGAAAGAATGGTATAACTAGAATCAGCCCAAATCAAACCTTCCATCCCAAGCCCTTTGAGTGATGGGAAAATTGGGATCTTAATCCCGATTTCATATCTCTTGGGTCTCTCTTTTAATCAGTCTGAGCCAAAGTTATGGATAAAAACACCCTCAAATTCGGGGAAAGTTCTAATCTGGGTCCAAACTTGAGGACTTATACACTTCTGTAGTTTTAAGAGAACTAAAACATATCCAGCCATCTTACTAACAGCAAATTTGTAACTCTGACACTGGAAAAATTAGGGTCTGACACTTACCCCTCTAATATCAGCTAAAATATTTTCTAGCACAGATAAGCCCACTAGTTGCCAGTTAAAATATCTGAAGTCTGTCTTCCTAAAAGAATCACATTTTAAAGACGACAGGTGACATTTTCTGATGTTTTTCCTTTCATATCATCTTAGAAATGAACGCAGCCTAAAAAGATGTTAACTGAGACCAGTGATCCCACTAGTAAATTGTCAGTACTTAAAAGGGAGATGTTCCTGCCCTCAGACTGTGTGATAAAAGTCAATAAAATATATCTATCTGAACTTTTACAGCATATTATAATGTAAAACAACAGTCATTCAGTCTGTCACAAACATGTTGGTCTTTCCTCAGTTGATAGCTTTAGGCTAACAATAACAACAAGAAAATGTAATCACAGTTTTTGGCAAACCAGAACAAAAACTGTGGACCCTTAGATTGTACGCATTGTCCTCACAAGGCAACATATGATCATTTGTAGGCCTGTGGATTTGAATAACCTGTCTGTTCAGCCTGTGATAGAGGACTATAAAGTGTAGAGGTTCGATTACATCAGATAAAATGGTCATGGCGTAGGACAATGTTGTCCAGCCTTTTCAGGTTGATGACCGTTTATTCAAAGAAAAAAAATTCAGGACTCCTTTAAATTTACTATAAAAGTAATTATAAAAATGTATCAGTGATAAACCTGTATAATTCACTTGTGTGTAGATTTTGAGAGATGGATGGAGAATATTTAATCTTGAAGGATAAAGGTGTGTGGAAAGTAGGCAGAGTAGTGAAGTTTTCATTTTTTTAGATCGCACTAAAAATTTCAATGACTCGTGATCCCTCCGATTTCTTTCTGTGATACCTTTGGGGGTTGTATTCATTGGCTGAGTAAAAACTTGTGTATGTTATATAACATGCCGCTGCAGAAGTTTATTTGGTTCCATGCTGAAAAAAGTGTAGTGGTGTTGTTTCAAAACAATAGCATTTAAAAATCAAACATTTTCTAGAGAAATAAACTGAATGCACGTTCCTAGAATTTCTGATCTTTGACTCCTGCTAGTATTTGATCCTTTGATATGACAAGGGTGCCACCTTTTTTTTAAAAGCCAAAATGGGAGTCCCACTTAAAGAAAGAAAGTTAAAAGTAGAGTATCAGTACGCTGTTTGGCTTGGCCAGAGTCTGAGATCACTGCAGAGGTAGTATGCTCTGTCTCTTCGGGAAAGGAACACCTTGTTTCATTCATCCACCAAGTCCTCTGGCATATCAAAGGAGCAGTATTGACACTACCTGGAGTAAACAACCTATCGTCCTCCTTTTCGGAAGTGAAGTCAGTGTTTCATGGACTCCTTGATTATGAGTTGGGAGAAAATAAGAGTTGCTAATTGTCTCAAGACATCAGGAAATACAAAAAGAATGACAGTTTATAGTCATGATTTTTAGATGGTATATTGAAAAAATTCAGAAGGCTATACCAATCTATTCAGAGTCAATTTACAGCTGTGCGTATTATATTTATATTGTATTTAACTCAAAAGAGAGTATTTAGTATCTGCTCTGCTTACCTGAGGAGCCTTTTCTGGAATTGTATGGAAACAGAAATGTACTTGACCAATATAATTTTTTACTTTTAATAAACATTTTTTGGGGGGGAGGGAGGGGAGGAGTTTTTCGTCCAACTATCTTAGTCAGATGTATTTGAAACTTTTACCCATATGACAGCTCCTTTCTAATAACAAGTCTGATCTAACATTTTAAATAGGCTACTTAGAAGTATCCTAATAAAGTTTTCCAACAGTACACAGAAGTGTGTAACACACACCTCAAAAGAAGTGCGGTAAGAATCTTTACATAAAAAAGGAATTTTATGTTGTAGTTCTTGTAGGCCTAATTTGACATAAGGGTCCTGTTCTGTATATCTGATAACAGAAACCAATATATAAAAGTGACAGTTTATCACTGGTTTTGCCTTCCAGAACCCTGTTGGCATTAGGTTGTCATGTAGGAATTGCTGATGAATATGCTGAAGAAAAAGTGAAAAAACTGAAACTTCCTAAGAAGTAAGTCAAAATTCAAACACATCCTTTTTATTTTGTTTTATTGTTTAATGAGGGAAGAAGAGTTGAGGAGACTGAGTTCTAATAAGTGTGTATGGAGGAAAGGTAGGGAGGGAAGAGGGAGAAGAGAAAACACTAACTGTAGCCCACAGGAGTCAGCATATAGTGACATTCTGACTGTGATCTTCAGCTTTTTGGGTTGGAAATGTATTACAGACCTCCTTCATCTACTTTGATTTTGTATTTGGTACCCAGAAAATAAGTGAATAAAACATGGGTCCAAGCATACCATTGCACTGCATGTACGTCATGCATGTTCATATTACCAACTATCATCACAAGACTTTCTTTGGGTCTTGTGCTCCTAACTCATTAGGTGTTTTTCAAAATCCCCTCATATACATACATATTCAGTAAAAGCTTTTTTTTATCCAGGATGTTGGGGGAATGTGGGGTGCTGGTAAGTGAAAAATTCCGGTTAACTAAGAGGCAAGGAGTTTGGGTGTGGGGGCGTGGTGCGGGGTGCTGGATCCGGGGGATGCTCACTTTGGGTGGTTCCCCACAAGTGGCAACCTGTCCCTGCTGTTCCTAGGTGGAGGTGCAGTTAGGCGGCTCTGCGCGCTGCCGCCACCCTGCCCCGAGTGCTGGCTCCGCAGCTCCTATTGGCTCTTGCGGGTGGAGGCTAACTGTGTCTCCGCCTAGGAACAGCAGGGACAGGTTGCTGCTTGTGGGGAGCCGCCTGAGGTGAGCACCCTCAGATCTGGCACCCCAACCCCCCCCCCCCCCGCACCCCAACCTCCTGCCCCGAGCTCCTTCCTGCACCCAAACTCTGTCCCAGAGCGCACGCACTGCACACCCCCCACCCATGCCCCAGCCCCGCACACCCTCCCGCACGCCGAACCCCTCGTGGCTGTTCCTCCGCCTAGGAGCAGCAGGGACATGTCGCTGCTTCTGGGGAGCCACGCGGAGCCAGGTATGTTTTTTATACTTGTTTTCTGGAGTCAAGAAAAAAAATTTAAGGGGATGAAGGACTATAATTTCTAACTCAAAAAGATGATCAAAGTTAGAATGTCACTACCCACTGACTCCTGTGGGCTACAGCTAGTTTCTTTGCAAGAATAAAGAAAGGAAAATAGGGAATTGGATAAACTTCCCCAAACTCTTCTTCAGTAATGGCATTCTGAAAAAGGGAGAGTTAAGACTAACTAAGGTGCGTATTCAATATCTAGGTAACAGGAAATCATACTTGGTAATACAAGAACTATGCCACTCTATCCATGACAATGTTCAGTGTTTTTGAATTCCATTGGACTGGAGATCATAACTTCATTGCCTCTGAAAAAAACAGAGGTCCCAACAAATGACCCTTTAAATTGAGATGTGGGCAGGAAAAAAACCTAAAAAAAATATATTCTAAAGAAAATTAATAGTAAAATAATATTACTGTGACAATTCCTGTTGACATCAAGATACAGTTGTGTCTGACTAAGAACTCAGTAAGGACTTCAGGATTAGGAGCTAGCTATGTTGGTGTTAGGTTGGACTACATTCTGTATCAGGTTTATTTTGGGCCTTCTGAAGGAATCTTGAATTAATCTGACCATCATTTTAATTTACCTGCTACAACACTTGAGAATGATAACAGTTGCGATAGAGATACGGTTTCTGTACCCAACTAGCAGAATTCATTGAAACTCTGCCAAAACATTAGGAGCTACTAGTAAGCAACAAGGATTTCTGTATTAAAGTGGAAGAAGAGGTCACTGCTGTATTATGATGGCTTGAATGAATAAGGATCAATTCATATGTGCCTAGACTTACTGACATCCCTTCTGGTAGAAAATACAGATGAGCGAATTCTTCTGTCAGTTATAACCATGCAATCACAATGAAGTCAGTGGTCTTCCCCAATGAACTCAATTTAACCCTCAGGGTGGTACATTGGTTTTATAGCGCACAATCTCGTAGCCATTCAACATGCAGAACTCCCATGATTTCAGTGGCTACAGGATGAGTAGATCAGGTTAATAGCATGATCACTTACAAAAGCTTGTAAGGAATTGCCACTTGTTATGGGCCACTAGGCACTCAAAATGTTCAAACTTCACGCAAAATACATGAAATGAGTTGCTACTCTGGATTGATCTGACTAGTTGAGAAATGTAATACATAATTGGGGTTCACTGAGCATATGAGGATGGAAAATGGCCAGTGAAACATGGTTAGATACAAAAGTAATATCTGGTGAAGTTGTGGTGATTCTGAAATGTGTGCAAATCTATATAAAACTCAGTGATGCACTGAGACTTGAGCCATGTTGGAAAAATCATGTTACCATAGCTAGAATGGCTGGATTAAGATTATCCAGATTGATAGAAAGATTCATTCACCTGTTCTGGATGCTTTTAAAAGTTTTATGATTACTGCAGCAACACAATTTTAACATGAAGGTGCCATGCCACAAAGACACCAGATGAAGCCAACAGGTGTCAGCACGTGGTGACATTCTGACTGTGTTCTTCTGCTTTTTATATTGGAACAATGACATTTCTTTTATATTCCTTTTAATTTTGTTTCTGGAGCCCAGAAAATAAATGTGTAAAACATGGACCCAATTCCCACGACTTCAAATATTAATTCTGGACAAGTATAGTGTCACTACAAAGACAATACTAAACCCACTCCATCTACTCTCTCGCAATATGGACCCACTTTGTTACTGGGAAACAATGGCCACCACAACAGAAAGCTTGTGGCCTATCACAAGAAATATTACATATGCTCTGCTCTGTGATGCTGTCAGAGCTTGGTTGCACTTGTAAACTCAGTTTTGGTAGACTTTTGTTAAACCTGTACTGTTTTCCAGATGTAAGGTCCTTTTATCCAGTCAAGAAATAGTGTAACTGTAATGACCAGGAAGCTATCCACCTGCAATATTTTGATATACAATTTGTCTGCTAGTTTTTGTGAATAAAGTTTATGTGGAAGCAGGATTAGTGCAGTCCTACAGCAACAATAATGTAATTTTAATAAAGCTCTCTTCTATGTAGTGGAATACTAGCATTTTTGTAGACTCTGCTTGGCTGGCTCAGTCATCTTTCTAACAATGGTGTGGTCACACCACGTGGAGTAAAAAAGCCAGTTTGACTACTTTTTTCTATAAAATAATACTATAGTGCAGTGGTCCCCAACTGGTAGGTCGTATTCAACTGGTCGATCCCAGAGCCTCTGACAGTCAATTGCAGTTTCTGGCTGCTAAATGTCCAGTTGCACAGCAGAGCTAAGGCAGGCTCCCTGCCTGCCCTGTCCCCACGCCGCTGCCAGAAGTGGCCAGCACGCCTCTGTGGCCCCCGGTGGCGGTGGGGGGTTAGGGGTCTCTGCCTGCTGCTCCTGCCTGCAAGCACCATTCCTGAAGCTCCCGTTGGCCAGGAATAGGGAACTGCGGAGTGGTGAGGGGCCAGGGCAGGTAGGCAGCCTGCCTTAGCCCCACTGCGCCACTGCTTGGGAGCTGCCCGATGTAAGCGCTCCCCAGCGGGAGCCCGCACCCCTACCCTAGCCCAGAGCCCCCTCCCAGAACTAGCACCCTGTACCCCCACCTGCACCCCAACACTCTGCCCCAGCCCAGAGTCCCCTCCTTCACACAAACTCTCTCCTAGACTCCGCACCCTGCATCTCCTTCTGCACCTCAACCCCCCGCACCAGGATCAGCCTGGAGCCCTGTCAAGGTTCCTCCCCCACTCTGAACTCTAGGGTACAGATGTGGAGACCTGCATGAAAACCTCCTAAGCTTATCTTTACCAGCTTAGGTCAAAACTTCCCCAAGGTACAAAATATTCCACCCTTTGTCCTTGGATTGGCCGCTACCACCACCAAACTAATACTGGTTACTGGGGAAGAACTGTTTGGACACGTCTTTCCCCCCAAAATACTTCCCAAAACCTTGCACCCCACTTCCTGGACAAGGTTTGGTAAAAAGCCTCACCAATTTGCCTAGGTGACTACAGACCCAGACCCTTGGATCTTAAGAACAATGAACAATCCTCCCAACACTTGCACCCCCCCTTTCCTGGGAAATGTTGGATAAAAAGCCTCACCAATTTGCATAGGTGACCACAGACCCAAATCCTTGGATCTGAGAACAATGAAAAAGCATTCAGTTTTCTTACAAGAAGACTTAATAAAAATAGAAGTAAATAGAAATAAAAAAATCCCCCCTGTAAAATCAGGATGGTAGATACCTTACAGGGTAATTAGATTCAAAACATAGAGAACCCCTCTAGGCAAAACCTTAAGTTACAAAAAAGATACACAGACAGAAATAGTTATTGTATTCAGCACAGTTCTTTTCTCAGCCATTTAAAGAAATCATAATCTAACACGTACCTAGCTAGATTACTTACTAAAAGTTCTAAGACTCCATTCCTGGTCTATCCCCAGCAAAGACAGAATATAGACAGACACACAGACCCTTTGTTTCTCTCCCTCCTCCCAGCTTTTGAAAGTATCTTGTCTCCTCATTGGTCATTTTGGTCAGGTGCCAGCGAGGTTACCTTTAGCTTCTTAACCCTTTACCGGTGAGAGGAGCTTTCACCTGGCCAGGAGGGATTTCAAAGGGGTTTACCCTTCCCTTTATATTTATGACAAGCCCTCTCCCACACTCCGAACCCCTTGGCCCCAGCCCAGAGCCTGCAGCCCTTCTGAGCCCCAACCCTGTGCCCCAGCCTGGTGAAAGTGAGTGAGGGTGGGGGAGAGTGAGTGATGGAGGGAAGGAGGGCGAGGCCTCAGGGAAGGGGCAGGGCTTTCAGGAAGGGGCGGGGTAGATCCTGGGTTGCATTTAAATTCAAGGTGTAATCTTGTGCGTAAAAAGGTTGGAGACCACTGCTATAGTCACAGTGTAATAGATTGCATGACAGCTAGAAGTTTGGGGACATTTTCTTTCATCTGTATCACAACTTTCACATGCAGCCTAAGCTAATACCTTCCATTCATGCTACAGTATTTAA